CTTCCAAACTTTTTTTGAAAAAAAGTTTTTTACAAAATTCTGTTTTTTTTTTAATTTTTTATAAAAATTTGAAAAAAAAATTTTTTTTTAATTAAATGAATCTATATTATTATTATTATTATTATTATTTATCTTGGTGCTACTGAGTGAAAAAATAATTGATCTTTTTTTTTTGAAGAATTTTCTTCCAAATTTTTTTACAAAAATTTTATTTTTCTTTTCAAATTTTTTATAAAAATTTAAAAAATAAATTTTTTGTAAAAATTTTTTTTTGACTTAAATTAATCTATATAATTATTATCATTTAATTTTTAAACTTAACGTCAATCCGCAAACATAAAAATAAATATTTATAATATTAAAATAAAAACATAATTAATTGTAATAAATGTTGTAATTATTAAAAAGCCTCTTGAGTACTTATTTAATAATTTAATAATAAAAAAATTATATTAATTAAATATAATGACTTTCAGTATTTAAATTTACTATTTAAGGATTTATTTATAATTTCCAGCGATTAATTAGTCAATAAAAAAAAATGAGGCGCAATAATTGTAATTTCGAGCTACCATTTAAAATAATAATGAATAAATATAAGTGATTACTGATTATTCTGTAACTACAGATTTAATTACTAATAAATGTATTAATTATAATTAATTATAATAATTGTAAAACTTGAACTGTAAAATTTTTGTTAAATTTAATTAAAAACAGCTAATGGCTAATGGAGTATGTAAATAGTTGTAATGACTATTGATAAAATTTAAAACTGTCAATTTAAATGAAACTGGCTCTTTTTATTTGAAATAAATATTTAATCTAGTCGTAATCGTCCTTTTATTTACATTCATAAAGATTTTATTCCTATAGAAACTCGGATTGCTTTTTAAAAAGGTCACGTTTATTGCTAAGTTAAACAAGGGATTCCCAAGTCGATAAAAAAGAGAGGATTTATCATAAATTATTTCAATTCTGATTTTAAATGCAGTGTTTATTTAGGACGCTTACATATTTAATTTGGCCTCTGCCTTAGCATATATTACTAATAAATAAATAAATAAATGTGGTTTTTTGGGATTTTTTTGGTGGAAGAAATTTTTTTTTGTTTAAATCAATGGTTGTATTTTAAAGTAGATACTTTAACCAATAAAATGAGCTATAATAGAAGTATTTTTGGCCATAACAACCCCAAAAAAATCATTGTTGAAAATTTAAAACCATATTTTCGTAGAAAATATGCAATTTTTTGGAAATAACTTTTGTTTTAGGCGCGCAGTAGCCTGTCGGATCCGGCCCTTGCTACCAAAGCATTGGACCGGGTTCGAGTCCGGCGTACACCAATGAATATTTTCAATATTTAAGTGTATTATTCTGCTCACCCCAAGAAATACAAACGAGTTCCAATCTCAAAAGTTTACCCCCTACCGTAGTCGCTCATGACCTTAGTAGTTTATGCGACTTTAAACAAATTAAAAAAAAAAAAAAACTTTTGTTTTTTAGGATTTTTTTTTGGTGAAATAAATTTTTTTGGTTAAAATAAATGAATGTATATTAAAGTAGACACTTGAATGAATGAATATTTTATTTGGCGTTGTTAGCTCTAGTTTAATCTTGCAGGCATTAATTATTGCGATTAAATTATAAAATTAATGAAATGGTAACGGTTTCTTATTTATCAAGACAAAATTTCTTAGGTCATAATTTCTCAGTAATATATTATCAGTTAAAAATTTATCAACGTCATAATTAATTATCGCTGAAATTAATCCTACAATAATTAATCCGATAAAAATTTCTTATGCAATAATTAACAGTAAAGTCCGGGGCGAAGCCCCCCATTGGAAAAGAAATAAATTATAACGATACATAAACAAGACCCCCATTCAAAAAAAGTAAGCGAGGCCTCAGAGGGGTCCGGGGCTGGGCCCTGGTGGGGGCTGGGGGGCGAAGCCCCCCCCCCCATTTGAAATGAAGAACACATCCAAATCGAGTAAATACACATCCAAATCTTATTAAATCAGCGCTACATGATTACGTGCATATGTGTTGTACTTTAAGATTGAAAATTAGATATGGGTTTGTATTATGAGAAATTTTCATGAAGATATATTTTTGTTTTATGTTCTTTTTAGTCACGAGAAATTATTGTACCGGATATATTTTTGAATGATAAATTATTGCCGAGAAATTTTTGCTTGAGAAATGATTACCGATACAAAGAGACATAGAACCAATGAATTAAGGTGTTGAATAAAATGAGAATTAATTATTAATCGATTTATTTTGTTTAGTATTTACATCAATCGAAAAATCAACTCAATAAAATAATGGTAATTTGTTTTAAATTCAACTTTAAAATGCACATGTCTGATATATATATATATATATACATATATAAATTGATAAAGAAGAAAGTAAAGAATAAAAAGTGGTGATTGACTAGTGCACTTGATAATTCTCTATCGGTACAATCCTTTGAGATTACTTCCTTTGAGATTATTGTTTTCTTCAGTGTTTAACAATACTCTAAATATAAATAATAAACCTAATTAAAATGGTAATTTTTTTGTTAAAAAAGTCGCGCTTGCGCAGACTAGTACAAAGATTGTGTTTCTTCACTGAATTTTTACCAGGGAACAAATGTTAACCAATAAAAAAAGAGATTGTGTTAAAAATTTTAAAAAATAATAACTGACATTTCAGCGAAATTATTTTGTCGAACAAAAATTTTGTGAATAAAAAAAGAGACATTTAATTATTTTAACTAGAGTATCTGGTGTGATATTAGATTAAGTATTTGTAATAAATGCCGAAATGTCTTTGAAATAATAACATGTAATACTATTGATTGCATACTCGGTAATAATTCGAGCTAGACGTTTTAAATTAACATCACGTCCATTATTTTAGTCAAGGTACTTAATAATAATAATAATTAATAATTATTATTAACAAGTTATTTACAATTTGTTAATTATTTACAATTAATTAATCTTTGACTGATTTTGTAATCAATTATTATTAAATAATTAGGATTATAGTTGAAGGAGTTGGAACTAGAAAGGTGTAGAGTAGAAAAAAGAAAGGAAAGTTTCTTCAGTCACTTACACCCTTTTAGTTCCGACTCCTTCAAGCGTATTATTAGAATACTGATTCTGCGGAACGTGACATCTGAATAGGATGTGAGGGACTACGCGCTAATCTTTTTTTCGGCAGCTTTTCAAGCGTTGACAGTAGCTTCGCAAAATCTGGACGCTTATCCGCATGATATGACCAGCAGTGCATTAATATATCCTGTAATAATTCATCATTATTATTATCATCAATAATATTATTACAACCGAATAAACAATCCAAGTGATTCTGAATTTACAAATAATCTAAATGACCTTGTATCTTGTGAACTAATGACATTTTTTAAGATATAAGCTCACCCTGATGTTACACTCATCGAGACTTTTCATTTGAGTACCCACATCAATTTTTCATATATTTTATATATTTATATATATATAATATATATGTATATATGAAAAATATATAAAAAATGCATGTGGGTACTCAAATGAAAGCTTTTGATGAGTGTAACATCAGGATGAGCTTATATCTTTAAAAACGTCAATAGTTAAGTAAGTACAGTGCAATTTAACAAAATTCATTATTTAATAAAGCAAAATTCTAATTATTTATAATTCACAAGTCACGGTAGTCAACATAGTGACTGCAAGGTTACTAGTCTTTATAAATTTAATATAAAGATAAACTTTACTTCTACAATATATTACATTCCATTAGTTGATTTTACCATTAGAAAACACATTTCATATTTTTATTGCTCGTTTTCACTTCATTACCCGGGACATTTTATGATTATCCATAAAACTTGGAAACCCAAGTACCCTCAAGTTTCCAAGTGTCTACATTTCGGCAGACCCGCACACATTATGACTTGTAATTAAATAATAAAAAAATAAATATAAAAAGTTTCATTTTACTTAACTTAAAACGTTTATATTTTCTAACTGCCTTTTTATTCATTAAAATTTTTTAAATTATACAAAATTTACCTCGCTCGTCCGTCTAATAAATTAAATTAATGTCCAAAATAATAATTTATCTTCCAAAAAGTCTCTACGCATCTGCTATAATTAAATCTATCTCTAAAATAATTTAATTTATTATCTAGAGAATTTTTTATCATCAAAATTTAATCCTCGAAAATTAATAAAATTATTTTTATTTCTTTATAAAAAAAAAATTATATAAAATCTTGGATATTTATTAAATATAAATGCATCCTTGGGCGGTTTATTTTTATGTTATTTTTTTATTGTAATAGTAATATAAAAATAAAGAGAAATACCTTGACCTCTCGAGAAGCTTGCAAGTTAGCTAGTGTCTGTTTCATCCCCTTACCCACTTGCCATATTATTGCTTCAGGGGGTTGCCCTTTAAATGGCCACTCACCGCAGAGCAATTCATACCATACGGTCCTGCAATATTGTTTTTATTAAATATAAAGCTACACAAAAAAAAAATAAATTGTAATAAAGACTAAGTAATGATCAACTGAAAAAAAATTACAATTTCAAACAGTAAAATCGTGATTTTAATAATCACTATAATATTTATCATTTATATGCTACAATTTATTATTTACATGGAATTATTAAAGAAAAAAAAACAAACCCGAATGCGTAGACATCAGAGGCTTCTGTAAACGCTAGTTCCTCTTGATCCCTGGTATGCTGCGGTCGGAGCCTTCGGACTATTTCAGGGGACAGGTAACACAGCCAACCGGGTGGAATGCTTAAGCCGTCACTTATTCTGATCAAATAAATATTTTTATTAATTTTTATAAAAAAAAAAAAAAAAAAAAATTGATTTAATGATAATATTTAATTAATAAAATTTACCTGTTGCCGTAGCAGAGTTTTGTTACGCTGAACAAACCAAAGTCAGTTATTACAACTTTGCCAGTTTCTAAAAATATGTTCTTGCTCTTGAGATCTTTGTGAACTATTCCGCGTGCATGGAGATAACCCATTCCCTGAAAAAAAAAAAAAAAAATATTTTACCCTAATACAGTTAAAAAGTTGCGTAACTTGTTAGATAATTTTAGAGAATTGGTGTGTAAAGATATTACGCATTGGCAATAAAAAATTTGTTTTTATTGTAATTATTTTTTGTAAGAGTTACGAGGGAGTTTTATAAACACTAGGAGTTAGTATCGATGCAATAAAAGTTTTTGACTATTTAAAAACAAGAATTAATAATAAATGGATTTTATTTACCGGCGCCGGGAATCGAACCCTGTCCTTCTTACGCAGTAAAAAATTTAAAAAACTAAAAGCTATACATTTGATTGAAAAGCTCTGGTTAGTTGTATATTTTTCCATAATTTTCTGGTTGAAGTAAAATTTAAAAAAAGCGAGCTTAATTAGACCTTACATTACAATTAAGCATAGAAAAAAAAGTATCTCGAGTTTGTATAAATATTCAAGAATTAAAATAAAATATCGAGAGTGAAAATTAAATTTATTAACGTAATATAAATTAATAAGTGTTAAAGTACACAATAAATAGTATTTTTAAAATAAGTATTTTAAAAAGTTTGTTTTTTTAATAGCCTGCCTTTTCTTCAGAGAAACTCTACATCCTGGTAGAAGTATACTACCGCGCCACCTTCTGGTGATTTCGAACAATAGTCCAGAGTAAAATAGTACAAGTGTAATAAGCTCGGCTGTATTTACTCCTCAAATAAATTTAAACTGTAAGGCTGATCGACGGGTAGACAATTCGGTCTAACTAAAGTCCGAAATATATTAACTATAATTAAACGAAACAATATTGGGGCAAGATTTTCAATAGATCTCTCCGTAGTGATCATACGAAGAGATAGAAACAAAAATCCGGGTAAATAATGGTGTTTTTCAAAAGTTATCGTGTTTACACCCCCAGTAACTCTTGTCATTTATCTACTGACTCATTTTAAATAGTTATTTCATATAAAAATTCTAATTTATTTAACAAATAACAAATATTTATTACTAGTAACTTTGCAGTCACTATGTGACTGCCATGACGTTGAAATATAAATAAATAAAATTTTGGTTTATTAAATAATGAATTTTCCTAAATTGCACTGTACTTTTTTAACTATGGACGTTTTTTAAGATATAAGCTCATCCCGATGTTACACTCATGAAGACCTTTCATTTGAGTACCAACATGCATTTTCATATATTATTCATATATACATATATATATATAATATCTATAAATATATGAAAAATTGATGTGGGTACTCAAATGAAAGTTCTCGATGATTCTAACATCAGGATGAGCTTATATCTTCAAAAATGTCAATAGTTCACAAAATACAATATCATTCCTTAGGGGTGTGCGAATAATTCGAACTTACGAATTATTCGTTTCGAATCGAATATTAATATTTGATTCAAAATTCGAATCGAATAATTTGAATTTTTAAATTATTCGAAATTCGAATTTGCACACCCGTATTTGAAATTGTTGATAAGTTCATTATTAATCATTCTTATGTACCAATTGAATCGTTTTCACATTCTCTACAAGGATTCTAGGCCAAACAGTTGATTAGATTAGTAACTTGGAAGAAATTTAGAGTTTTCATTTTTACATGTCCGCGTGGCTATGCTATCAAGTCTTATCAAGACTTATCAAGAGTTAACTAGATTAGGGTTTAAAATTAGGGGTGTGCAAATAATTCGAACCTATAAATTATTCATTCCGAATCGAATAATTTGAATTTTCGAATTATTCGAAATTCGACGAACAATTCGAAAAAATTCGAATTATTCGAAAAATTACGAATAATTCGAAAAGTTTCGAATTATTCGTCGAATGTTGATTAATTCGAAAATTCGAATTATTCGGTTCGAATTTCGAATCGAATATCAATATTCGATTCGAACGATATTCGCACACCCCTATCATTCCTCAATTATTGACATTTTTTAAGACAAAAACTTCTTTCGATGTTACACTAATCGAGACCTTTCATTTAAGTACCCACATGGCATTTTTCATATTTCATATATATAGTATTTATGAAATATATAAATATTTAAAATATATGAAAAATTGATGTGGGTACTCAAACGAAAGCTCTCAATGAGCCTAACATCAGGATGAGCTTATATCTTTAAAAATCTCAATTTTTAAAAAAATAGTGCAATTTAAATTAATCAATTACCTGAGAGATCTGTTGAGCAATAACAGTAGTTTTGTTCATATTAAACTTATCCTTCCTCAGATGAATATGCGTGAACAGCGTCATCCCCTTGCTCATACTAGTAACAATCGCTAGATCCGGCGGCTTCATACAAGCACCCATGAACAAAATAAGATTCTCATGCCTAGTCTTCCTGAAAGTTGCAACCTCTAGCTTAAAAGCCTCAAGAGTCTTGTTGTTATCAGAGTACTGGTCCATGTTGAGCATCTTAATCGCGACATCTCCATGCCAGTTGCCTCTGTAGACAGTCCCGAACCGTCCAGTGCCGAGAGGCTCACCAATCTTCAGCTCATCAAAGGGAATCTCCCACTCGCGCATCGAGAGGCTGTTCTGCCTCGGCCAGCGACTGTCCCCAGGCTCTCCGTCAGACACTTGGGAGTCCTGAGAGTCGACTCTCACCGGAGTGCGCTCCGAATCAGTGCTGACACTTCCGGAGCCAGAGACACTGACAGTCTTGTCGCTGTCGCTGGACATTATGGTGCTGTCCAGTCGAGAGTGCTGACCATCGACCATCAGAGTCTTTTCATTAAGAGTCACCTCCGGAAAGTGGAACTGCTGCTTGACTGTCGGCAAGTGAGTAGCAATGCCCGTAGCAGTGCTCGTAGCAATGCTGGTAACGTTGACACTTATCGTTTGACTAGTCGTCTGTCCACCCGGCAGTAACGCTGGACTAGAAGGAGTTGAGCTGTTACAGCTCGAGGTAGTTGAACTTGAGTCAGCGCTCGTGAATGGTATGTTTATTGACGAGTGCAAGTGCGGTCGTTTTCTGTCCTTGCGATTTAAAGAACTCAAAAGATTTGAAATGTGATGATGATGATTTGGAGATGTCACTCCAGGCTTGCTTAGAGTTGGAGATGCATTTGCTAAACTGTCTGCTTGGAGCGTTCGCTTGAACTCGTCGAATAATTCTTGAGGAAGTCCGCAAGAAGGTGGAACTTTTGACTCACAGTCACGGTGGCACTTGTACTTGCACTCTTTGCATTTTAAACCCGTTCCGATGAACATCTGCTTCTCGCAGTAGTCGCACGTTGTCATCATTTTGAAGGTTTTGGTGAAGCGGTGGTTTATTATGTGACCCATTCCTCGGGTTACGGTGGGCGTGCGAGGGGATTTGGGTACCTAAACAAGTTGTAAAATTTAATTAATGATTACTAGAAAACGGCAGTCACTTCGTGACTGCCGTTGCTTGTGAACTATGGTGAATGGAATTTTGCTTAATTATATGCTTGCTTAACTATTGATGTTTTTTAAGATATAAGCTCATGACGATGTTAAACGCATTAAGAGCTTTCATTTAAGTACCCACATGCATTTTTGATATATTTTTGATATTTACATATATGTAATATATATAAATATATGAAATATATGAAAAATTGATGTGGGTACTCAAATGAAAGGTCTTGATGAGTATAATGTCGGGGTGAGGTTATTTCTTTAAAAATTTCAATAGTTGAGAAGGTACAAGGTAATTTCTTAATTATTGAGATTTTTTAAAATATAAACTCATTTCGATGTTACACTCATCGAGACCTTTCATTTGAGTACCCACATGTATTTTTTATATATTTTTCATATATACATATATATAATATATATATATATAAATATATGAAATATATGAGAAATTGATGTGGGTACTCAAATGAAAGGTCTTGATGAGTGTAACATCAGGATGAGCTTATTTCTTTGAAAATGTCAATAGTTCACAAGATACAAGGCCATTTCTTAATTATTGATATTTTTAAAGATATGAACTCATTTTGATGTTACACTCATCGAAACCTTTCATTTGAGTACCAACATGGCATTTTTTATATATTTTTATATATATATATATATATATATATGGTATTTGTTAAATACATAAAGATATGAAATATATGAAAAATTGATGTGGGTACTTAAATAAAAGGTCTCGATATGTGTAATCTCGGGGTGAGCTTATTTCTTTAAAAATGTCAATATTTGACAAGATACAAGGTCATTTCTTAATTATTGATATTTTTTAAGATATAAGCTCATTTCTATATGACACCTATCGAGACCTTTCATTTGAGTACCCACATGAAACTTTTTATATATTTTATATATATGATATTTGTGAAATATATAAATATATGATGAGGTCTATCAAGCTAGCATGGACTCATCCATCAGACATTGACTTATTATTCAAGCAACAAAATTTATTTGTGGTGCTAAATTTGTTGCTTTTTTATTGCTAATTAGTTGCTCTATTTAGAATATTGTTGCTTGTTTAGATTCCGAGAAATTAATAATAATGACCGTCCAAGATGGGCTCTGCCACTGCTAGCTTGATATGCCTAAATATATGAAAAATTGATGTGGGTACTCAAATGAAAGGTCTCAATAACTGTAATATCGGGTTGAGCTTATATGTTTAAAAATATCATTAGTTGACAAGATACAAGGTCATTTCTCTATTATTGACATTTTTTACAACATAAACTCATTTTTATATTACACTCATCGAGGCCTTTCATTTAAGTACCCACATGGCATTTTTTATATATTTTATATATATGACACTTTTGAAATATATAAATATATAAAATATATGAAAAATTGATGTAGGTACTCAAATGAAAGGTCTCAATTAGTGTAACATCGGGATGAGCTTATATCTTTAAAAATATCAATATTTCACAAGATACAAGGTAATTTGTCAATTATGTATTTAGAGATAATTTTCGAATGCAGAGCCTAAATAATAATCATAATAAATTAACTATTGATATAAGATTGATATAAAACTTATAAAGGCACAAATTCAAGTCAAGCTAAATTTTACTAAAAAAACAGAATTCATTCGACTATACTGAAGACAAAAAATTTTTCTTATTTTCTTAATAATATATACGGTAAAAGACCCCATTAGTGGCGGGGACCCCATTACTGATACTTTCTTCGATTTGGTACTTATTCAATTAATGAAATCATCAATTTCAATTATGATTATATTATTTCTAATATTTAAGACCTTGAGATCAAAAAAATTTTTAATTTTTATTCCAAGTAGATCATTTTTTCATTGAAAGAAATAGTGCCACTAATAGGGTCTTTTTCCTTATTAAACCATTTGTAATATAAAAAAAAATTAAGAGTAGTTGAACTCTTACCTGGAGGCTGGTAACAGTCCCCTTAAAACTGTTGTCATCACTCTCAGCACTAGAGTAAGGCGGAGATTTAAGAGGACTGCTGATGTTCAGAGTATCATTGGGAATATTCGCGTTGCTGGTACCAGACCCTGGCTCAGTGGGGAGTCTAATCCTTCTAGGATGCTCAGTCTCGCCGTTCTCCAGTCGATTAGCAAGCTGGGACTCGTGGGACTTTGACTTAGTCAGCGGAAAGACATCCGCAGGAGGTTGCGGGTTCTGTTTCTTGTTCGGCGGCGGAGTTGTGGGGAACTTGACGTTGGCTCGCTCGTGCTTGTTGAGCCGAGGGGTCGACGGTGGACTATTAGTGAGGCAAATTATCGAAGAGGACTGGCTCAGGATGTCGTTATTTACATTAATATTGTTGTGGTAAGGAATACTGTCTTCGGATGGCACTGAACTTCGGGTTGTTCGGGACCTTACGGGCCGCGGTGAAGGCCCGCTTCGCAGCTGATGACGGTCCCATGAGTCCCAGTATAAATTCATGTCGGTATCCTTGTCGCCTTCTAGGAGAACGTCGATGTAGCGACGGAGGTTGTGGAGAGCTCGGCAAAGACGACGTAGTTCTTCTTCATGTCGGGAATTATTTTCTCCTAACATTGTGCTTAATTCACGCTCTGTTTTTTCTTTTAATGCTTCTAGTGTTTGAGCTTTGGTACATACATTCTGGAAAATTTTTTTATTATTATTTAAAAAATAAAATAATAATAATTAGCAAGTTGGCAGTCACTACGTGACTGCTAACTTGCGAACTATGAATAAATAAAATTTTGTCTTATTAAATAAAGATTTTTGTTAAATTGCACTGTACTTCCTTAACTATTGACATTTTTGAAGATATAAGCTCATCTTGATGTTACACTCATCAAGAGCTTTCATTTGAGTACCCACATGCATTTTTGATATATTTGTCATATATACATATATATAATATATATATAAATATATAAATATATGAAAAGTTGATGTGGGTACTCAAATGAAAGATCTTAATGAGTGTAACATCGGGATGAGCTTATATCCTCAAAAATGTCAATAGTTCACAAGATACAAGGTCATTTCTTAATTATCGATATTTTTTAAGATATAAACTCATTCCGATGTTACACTCATCAAGAGCTTTCATTTGAGTACCCACATGGCATTTTGATATATTTGTCATATATATATATATATATATATATATATATATATATATATATATAATATATAAATGTATGAAATATATGAAAAATTGATGTGGGTACTCAAATGAAAGATCTCGATAAGTGTCACATCGGGATGAGCTTATATCTTTAAAAATGTCAATAGTTTACGAGATACTAGGTCATTTCTTAATTATGTATCTATATAGAGATAGAGCATTTTCAAACGCAGTCTAAATACTTATTATCATAAATTGACTAATGGTGGAAATGATATGAACCCTTAAAAAGGTACAAATTCAAGTTAAGGATTTTCTAATGATATCGCGTTGAACCATAAAAACCCATTTTATCATGTAAATACACTGTCCATAAAAGTTTGCTTGTTTTCTTTATAATATAGAAAAAAACAATGCTCAATTAGAAAAAAAAAGTTATTATTATTATTATTGCTACTTTTCAACATAAAATTAAAATTTCTTAGAAGATATAAAATTTCAAAGATAATTAATTTTGACAATTATTTTATTTTATTTGACGTAAAAAACATGTACCTTAAAATAAAATCTATTTTTAGATATGAAAAATATATTATTAAAAGATAACACAACACTCATATAAATTTCAGATATAATTTGTAAATATTACGTCGATTAAAAAAAATTTTTAAAAATCTAATAAATTAATTTTAATATTTAATTATTAAATAAATTAGCTCCAAAAAAATTTCAATTTATTTTTAAAAAAAATTTTTAAATATCTAGTAAATTAATTATTATAAAAAAAAAAATCTAAACAAAAAAAAAACTTACATTAATAGACTCCGGAGTAAGTCCAACCACCCTCAACCACTGTGACAGCGATGGATACTGTCTCATCTCAAGTGGCAGAGACTCAACAGAGAGTTTCGACTTAGTCACAAGTTGTTTTGAGTAAAGTTTAATCAATTTCCCCTGAAAAAATAAACACAAGAAAAAATCAATAACAACAACAAAGCTTTAAGAAAAAAAAAAAAATTCTTACCTCAAGAGTCCGAATTTCTTGTTGAGTAAGCTCAGCACTGGTCGAACACTTGGTCCTGAGTCCCTCGAGTCTCTCAGCGGAGATCTCGATCATCGACTGGACGACGTCAAGCGCCCGACGTAACTCGGCATCCTCGCCCTCTGCCATCCTCAGGCTCGTCGCTTTGTTTATTAATTTTAATATCAATGTTAATATTAACAATAATAATAATAGTGACAGAAATAAAATAAATAATAATAATTACTCAATAATTAAAGACTAAGAAATATATATAATTGATAACTAATGAATTAGTGTCGCCTGGACCCAGGCACTAATAAATTGCAATCACTTAACAGACATTATTCGTATCTTTCTGCGAGCGCACTATCACGCACTGGGAATTCCTGACAATAAATAGATGTTAATCAATTGGCAACCACCTCAGGCACTGGTATTTCCTACGGTAACCACTTATCAACATTGACAACCATCTTGGCGGTCTAATCAGTGACGTCAAACGATCAGTAAGTGACACGACGGAGTTTTAGACTTTTCAAGCTTTTCACTCACCAACAACCACTCGAATTATTAGGTGCGACATCTACAACATTTAAATGACAGATTTTCTAACCTAGAAAAATGTTTTAAAATCAAAATTTTATAATTTTCTTTTTTTTTTTATGAAAATTAAGTTAGCTGACATCTAAAAATTTTTAGAATTTTTTTTAGTGAAAAAGTGATTACAAAAAAATTTTAAAAAAAATTTTCACTTGTCACAAACTTTAAAAACTGTAAGTGCAATTTTTTAAAAATATTTTATTGTTCTAATTTAATTTAAAAAAATAAATTAAAAAATTAAAAATGTCGGCTAACTTTATTATTATTTTTTTTTTTTTTTGACAAGTTTGATAAAAATTTTATAAATATCTTTTTTTATTATAATAATAATTAATTTATTAAATTATAACTAAAAAATATTTTTAAAAAATTACACTTATAGTTTTTAACAAATCAAAAAATTTTTTTAGTATAAAAAATTATAAAATTTTTTAAATGGCTAACTTTATTTTCATTTTTTTATTTTATTAAATTTAAATGAAAATTTATTTAGCAGGTAGTTAATAATTTTTTTTTTTTTATAAATTATGACAAAAAAAAATTAGAAAAAAAATTGACATGTGGAAAATCTTAAAAATAAAAAATGCAATTTATTAAAAGTAATTTTTTTGAACAAATTTGTTATTAAAAAATTCTCTAGTGATTGCTAACTTTAATATAATGAAATAAATTAGTGAAAATTTTTTTAGAAGCATTTTTTTATTTTTCAATTTTTTTTAATAAATAAATTTGCTCCAAAAAATTATTTCTCAAGATTGCATTTTTAATTTTTTTTAATTTCTACATGTCAATTTTTTGCTCTCATTTTTTTTTTGGCAATAATTTATTTGTTAAAAAAATTTTTTATATTATCAAATATCTACTAAATAAATTTATTTGATGATTTTTAGAATTTTTATAATAATAAATAAAATAATATTGAAGTTAGCTGTCAATTTTTCTAATTTTTATAACAAATCAATTATAATAATAAAAAAAATGCTTTAAAAAATTTCAACTAATTATTTTTGACTAAGCGACACTTGAATAATTTTTTAATTTTATTTAAAAAATTAATTAGTTGTAAAAAATTATTTTCAAAAAATTGCATTTTTTATTTTTTTTCATTCCTACATATATTATTTTTCTTTAAAAATTCTTTTAATTCTTTTGTTATATTTTATTTAATGAAAAAATTTTAAAAACTATAAAATGTCTCTCAAATTAATTATAATTAATTTTTTAAAAATTAAAAATGGTATTTTCTTAAATAATAATTTTTTTAATCTAATTTATTTATTAAATAAAATTTTAATTTGTTTACTCACTCTGAGTTGCATTAAATTTGTAAAATAATCACAAAAATTTTTAGGTTAAGCTTCAAAATAATTTTAATTAAAAATCAAAAATTTTCAGTTTGACCAAAATTTAAATTTAGTTCCCAAAACATCCGCAGAATTTTTTTTTTCCGGCACTGAGTGACACTAGACACTAATAATAACAACAACTCATGAAAAAAAGTATAATAATAAAAATAATCAGTTAACTTTGACGCCTCGTGACAATAAGCAGCAAAAGCAAGCAAAAGTTAAGGACTAATATTTTTGTTGGTTGCGTCGGACCAATAGTCAATGGAGATTTGCTCATTACACTCGTTATGAATTTTTATTACAAGAGGTATGTGTCTGTGTCTACCTCGTGGCTATCACTCCAGTCGTGACACCTCATATTATTATTATTATTTATACTAATAATAATAATTACTGATTACTGATGAAAATTGATAAGATAATATTTAATGTAACAGACACTATTTTTTTAATCTGAATATTTTATTTATTTTTATTATACCTTCTGACTTAACATAAGGTCTGAGTAGTTTTTTTACATACTGGAGAAATGGTGAATATTGATAAAATAAAAGAGACTTATCCGCTGCACTGGCTCGTATGGAACAATGATTACAATGAGCTTGATAGACTTCTGTCAACTAATCAGGTAATTTTTATTTTTATTTTATTTTTTTTTTTAATTACCAAATTTTTATTTTTATTTTGACTGTTTTTAAAAATATCTTTTGATGGTGTCATTTAAGTTGTGACAATTTGATACTAATCAGCAGACATCTGATAATTTTTTTATTTTTATTAAATTAATTTTTAAAAATTTTTTTCATTAAGTAGCTGTCAAAATAAAAAAAATTAAGAGACTTTAATTAATTTTCAGTATCATTCTGATTTTTAAGACTAAATATCAATAATACTAAAGTTAACCGACGATTTTAATTTTTAGATTTTTTTTTAATATTTAAATTAAAACAAAAAAATATTTTTAAAAAATTACACTTACAGTTTTTAAAGTTTTTTACAAGTGAAAAATTTTTTTTTTTATTTTTTTGTGATCTGTTAATTTTTAAACAACATAAATATGTAAACAAAAAATCAATATATCATTAATTTTAGCAGTAACTTGATCATTTTTTAATGTTATTTAAAAAAAAAATTTTCTTGAAAAATTATTTATAAAAAATTGCATTTTTAATTTTTAAAATTTATAAACGTCAATTTTTTTTTCTACTATTTTTTTTGCTATCATTTATTTGTTAAAAAAATTTTTAAAATAATTAAATATCTGCTAAATTAATTTTCATGAAAATTAATTCAGCAGATATTTAAAAATTTAAGAAATTTTTATGACATTAAAATTAGCAGTCACTAAAAAATTTTTCAATTTTTTTTAACAAAAAAATTTGTTCCAAAAAATTATTTTTAAAAAATTGCATTTTTTATTTTTTTCAATTTCTACATGTCAATTTTATTTTTTAAAATTTATTTTTGCCATAATTATTTGTTAAAAAATTTAGCAGATATTTAATAATTTTTAGATTTTTTTTAACAAATAAATATAAAAAAAATTGGCATGTAAAAATTTTAAAATGCAAATTTTTAAAAATAATTTTTCAAAACAAATTTGTTAGTTAAAAAAAAATTAAAATTATCTAGTGACTGCTAACTTAAATCTCATCTAAATATTTGTCTTGATTTTTATTATAATTTTATTTTTATTATCTTGTGGGTATGGAAGTGTGAATAATTAATTATTGTGGTTGTGCGGGTAACTAGGATTTGAAGCCGTATTTGTTGGGAAGCCGCATAAATATAAATTACTTTGTATTTGTATTAATATTATATATTTAAATTTATTTGTTAGGTTTGAAATATTATTTATAATGATTGTAGCAAAAATCAAACTTTTTTTTTATTTGTAAATATTTTGTTTGCGGTTGCAAAAATAATAATTGTAATTCTTAAAATTTTTTAAAATTGAAGAACAATTTGACGCGCATTAATAATATTCTTGTTTATATTTACGAAAAAAGATTAAAATGATTCATTTTTAAAGAATTTTAAACGAAGATTATTTTTAATACAAAAAATTTTCACTAAAAATGAGATTATAAGATTATCTATTGAAAAAAAAAAAAATATTTGATTTTTTTTGAATTAGCAAACTTTTAAAATATTTTTTTTTGCCAAAAAATTGGTATTAAATATTCTAAAAAATAAAAGTTAGAAAGTATAATAATAAAATTTAATATTTTTTTTTAATTTACTCAATTAAATTCTAAGTACTTAAAATTTTACGAAAAATTTCAAATAATTTTTTCTTTGATAAAATTTGTTAAATAAAATTAAAAAATTTGGAGTCTTAATTTTAGAATAATTTTTATCTGTTAATTTTTATATTATTAAAAATTAAAAAATAATTAAATTTTAGTTATTTTTAATTAAAATAATTCATTGAAAAATTAAATAAAATTTAGTTCTTAATTACAAAATAATTTAATGATGGAATATAAATCTTGAGTCATAATTTTTATTTATATTAATTTAATATTATATAATAAATAATTAGATGATTAACACAATATTTAATTGCAGCATGACAAAGAGAAGCATGACAATAGAGGCAGATCACCTTTGATGCTGGCGGTAACGTTGGGATACAAGGAGTCTGTTGAAGTTTTGTTGAATCACGAGGCCAATGTTTACACTGAAAACACTCAAGGATGGAGCGGTAATTGTTTTTATTAAAAAAAAAAATCCTTAATCCTCTCAAATAAGTCTAATTAATTTTTTTTAATGATGATAATTTTTTATACTTTTTTAGTGGTACAAGAAGCGACGGGCACGGGCAACCCAGAAATTTTGCAGATGGTCCTGGCACGGAGAGACTACCAAAGATATTGCAACCGGATTGATGGAATCCCGGAGTTACTTCATAAGCTAAAACAGGCCCCGGATTTTTACGTTGAAATGAAGTGGGAATTTACTAGCTGGGGTAATTAATTTTTATTTGGATATTATTTTGATTTTTATGAATTATTTATTACAGTGGGATTTCTTGGTAAAGTATTATAGAAAGCCAGGCATGAATTATTTATCAATTAGCCTTGAAATATTAATAAGTAATATTTATAATCTTCAATGAGTTTGCTACCGGTTATTAATAGTAAATTTTTTTTTTTTTTTCTATTAAATATTTAATCGATTTAATTTTATTAAATTACTCTTCAATAATTAAATTATTATTTATTGTCTTTAATTTATAATTCATTAAAAAATTTTATTAAATTTTTTAATTAAAAATTTTTAATAAATTAACTACAAATTTTTATTTAATTTTTTTTTAATTAATTAAATAAAAATTAATTAATTAATTAATTTTTTTTATCTAAAAAATTGAAGAAAAATTATTTATAATACTTAATTTTGATTAATAATTTATTGTTTTTAATTTATACTTAATTAATAATTAAAAATTAAATATAAAAAAATAAATTATAATTTTTTAAATAAAAAAAAAATAAATAATATTAATTTTTCAGTCCCTCTGGCATCACGTATGTGTCCAAGTGATACATACAAAGTATACAAACAAGGCAGCAACGTAAGAATAGACACAACATTACTCGGTTTCGATCACGCGAATTGGCAGCGTGGTAATCTGAGTTACGTCTTCAAGGGTCAGAGTAAGTACAAAAAAAAAAAAGAATATTAATTTTTTTTTATAAAAAATAAAACTCGCATGTTTTTGTCTTTGCAATGTCTTTGCTTACAATTAATGCAATTTAAGAAGACGTACCAAGTGCACCTGTGACTATTAGGTGCGACCGGAGTTATGTCTTCCGCATGGTTGGAGATACACCAGGTGATTTAGTATCCCGGAAAAATCCACATTAGCACATCATTGTTCCTTGTAATTAATTAGTAACTAGCCTTGTTAATATTCTACACAACTTCGTGATTAATTAGCAGTATTCAGGCTACATTGGAAAATGCTCTATCTATAGATACATAATTAAGAAATTACCTTGTATCTCGTGAACTATTGACATTTTTAAAGATATAAGCTCATCCCGATGTTACACTCATCGAGACCTTTCATTTGAGTACCCACATCAATTTTTCATATATTTCATATATTTATATATATATGTATATATGAAAAATATATCAAAAATGCATGTGGGTACTCAAATGAAAGCTCTCGATGAGTGTAACATCGAGATGAGCTTATATCTGTAAAATATATATTATATATAGGTATATATGAAAAATATATCAAAAATACAGGTGGGTACGCAAATGAAAGGTCTTGATGAGTGTAACATCGGGATGAGTTTATATCTTTAAAAATGTCAATAATTATGAAAGTACAGTGCAATTTAACAAAAGTCATTTTTTTTATTAATTTTTTTATGAAAAATTTCTTTATAAAAGTTATTAATAATAATAAATTTTTAAGCTTGGTTACGAATTAAATAAACTTTTGCCGTAACACAAAAATATATCCTTAAAAAATAATATATATAATTGTAATTATTAATTTAAAAAATTGTAATTAAATGTTGAGTAAATTAAAATTTTCCCAAATTAATAAAGATGAAAATTAAAATAATTAACTAAATTATTTAAATCAAAGATGACGGTGCTACAATGATGGAAGTGGATCACGAAACTCGGAAAGTTTACGTAGAACACATGAAGCTGATAGACGACGACAATGTCCAGCTGATGGCGCCCTCGGAAGAGGGCATAATGGCCCGCCTGACCAACCCAATAGTAACGACCTACGTCGACACCGATAAAATAAGTTTCGAAAGGAACAAAGCCGGCATATGGGGCTGGAGGTCAGACAAGAGCGAAGTGGTAAATGGCCACGAGTGCAAAGTCTTCAGTGCCAGTAATGTTGAACTGATCAGTAAAACACGTCTTGAACATTTATCTGAAGCCGATAAAGTACGATCTCATGCGCCTCGTACTCCTCTTCAATCATTCCTTGGTATTGCTGAACAACAGCAGGAAGAAAATGGTGGTGCTACGTGTAGTGTAAGTTTTAAAATTAAAATTTTAGAAAATTAATTCAGTAATTTTTATTATTTTTTTTTGTTTTTAAATTAAAAAGGTGAAAAATTTTTTTAAGTACCTAATAAAAATTTTATTGGAATTACTAAAAAAATTTTTTCCATACAAAAATTTTATTTGATTTAAAAAAAAAAATTGAATAAAAATAATTTATAATAATTTAGATTAAAAAAATTTTCTTATAAAAAAAAGTTAATAAATTTTTTTTTTAATATAGGAAGAATTTATTAATGTAGGAAACCCTTCAAATATAACTCCCGAAGAATATTTTGACCCTGAAGTTGATTTAAATGGCCGAGATATCGGGAGACCTAAAGAAGTAACTACAAAAATTCAAAAATTCAGAGCGACTTTGTGGTTGTCTGAAGAATATCCACTAAGTCTCCAAGAACAAATCATGCCAATCGTTGACCTGATGGCGATATCCAGCACTCATTTTGCCAAACTTAAGAATTTTATTCAAATGCAATTGCCTTCAGGTTTTCCTGTAAAAATAGGTAAATAATTTATTACCTAAATTAAATTAATATATAATAATTAAGAAATGACCTTTTATCTTGACAACTATTGACATTTTTAAAGATATAAGCTCATCCCGATGTTACACTCATCAAGACCTTTCATTTGAGTACCCACATCAATTTTTTATATATTTTATATATTTATATATTCCACAAATACCATATATATAAAATATATTAAAAATGCAATGTGGGTACTTGAATGAAAGGTCTCGATGAGTGTAACATCGTAATGAGTTTATATCTTAAAAAATGTCAATAATTAGAAAATGACCTTTTATTTTGTCAACTATTGACATTTTTAAAGATATAAGCTCATCCCGATGTTACACTCATTGAAACCTTTCATTTGAGTACCCACATCAATTTTTCATATATTTTATATATTTATATATATTACATATAATGTATCTATGAAAAATATATCAAAAATGCATGTGGGTACTCAAATGAAAGGTCTCGATGAGTGTAACATCGAAATGAGTTTATATCTTAAAAAATGTCAATAATTAGAAAATGACCTTTTATTTTGTCAACTATTGACATTTTTAAAGATATAAACTCATC